TAACCCTGGCCATGATCTGTCATATATAACATGTTCAAGAGAGTATTTTAAGATATTTACAATTTTTTTTAACTCAGATTTTTCCAGTTTCTGTATATATTGCTTTGAAAATCCCTCAAAAGCAATTATTTTAAAGAAAAGACTGAAGTCTGTACAACCATTCTAGTCAATATGTGTGCCCACCATTTTTTCTCCCTACTCTTGGAAAAAACGTGGAGATAATTAAACTGAAAAATTTAAGCTTTCAATTTTAAAATTTCAGCTAAGTATGAAAATGTTAGTCTGTTTTCTTACCATGAAACATAGATGCAATTCTTAATTCACCCAACACAGAAACATTTAGAGCAAGTGGTTATTATACTGTAGATGAACTTCTCTATACTATAGATCAGGAGTCAGTAAACTTTATAAAGCGCCAGATAGTAAATATTTAGGCTTTGTAGGCCATATAGTCTCTATCACAACTACTTAACTTTGCTGTTGTAGCTTGGAAGCAGCCATAAACTGTATGTAAATAAATGACTTGGCTGTGTTCCAATAAAATTTTATTTACAAAAAAAGACAGTGTGTGAGATTTGGCCCAGAGGTAGTGGTTGACCCCTGCTCAAGATCAGAAGAGTCTACAGATATTGTAGTTTTTAAATGTGCCTAATCCTTGTTTTAAAATTTCTATATTTTTACATGGATTCGTGGAAACAAGAATGTAAAAATATATTTCTTTGAACAGTGGTCAATAAGTGTTTTGTCTCAGTATATCTGGTACTTTTACATTGTAAAATAGACCATAATTGTCTGCATGCTTAGTATTATGCAAGGAAAATAAGAAATGTGAAACTATACATTATTTCTTCCTGCATCCATCCATAAGCATGGAATAGTATTGTTTTAGGTATTTCATTTATCTGTTCTTTAAATCTTTAAATTTAAACCTCCTCGTGCACTAATTATCTGTTTGGACTCTTTAGGTCTGGGTGATTCAGAATACACATACTTCTGTAATGGGGGGAAAATAATCGATAAAAGACTTCAAGAGCTTGGAGCCCGACATTTCTATGACACTGGACATGCAGATGACTGTGTAGGGTAAGGGCAACGTACTTCTCTCTTTCTTCCAATAAACCCTTATTTATGCCTGGTGAAAATGAGTGAGTTTATGAAACATGTTGGCTTTTGGTAGCACTGAAAGTTTCATCTTGAGAGCTCTATTTTAGTTTTATTTGCTTTTTCAGCTTTTGGATCCAAGGAAGTCAGCCAGAGCACAATTTACCTATTTTGCTGATTTGTGTGTGCTTGTGTCTCATTCTTCTCAGTATCCACTAATGGAAAGAGTTAGAAACAGTGTCCCAGTACAGTTATCTTTATATTAATGTGTGTGGGTATTTGTAAAAGTCAGTATTTTCTTGAAGAACTTTGATAGTTGGTACATGCACTTCTCTCCGCCGTGCAGAAGGGGGGCCACTGGATTCAGTTCCTCACATGGGGAGGACCCAGTTGGACCAGGCTCTCTGATGGAGAACACACCAGTGGGCCTTCATGGCAGACTGCATTTCTTGGCACTCTCTCCACCATCTCAATGGCCATTTGCCACTGTACCAATCAGAAGTATACTTTCTCTTTTCAATACTTTTATTTATTCTTGTTTTTACAACTCTGTATTTTGCCCTGTGCACCACCTTTCGAATTAGTATAACATGTCTATTCAAAGGTCTACATATATCATCCTGCAAGTTATTTAACTATTTTAGCCGGATAACATCACACACAGTTGATTTTTTCCTACTAGGTGTATGTATTAAATGAATTTTCACTCACTGAGTTAATGAATAATCGTTTATGAAAAATGACAAATTCAACAAATTTCTTACCTTTCTGCATATTATCACCTTGAATGAGTATGTTGGAGACTCTTACATATTTCGACCCTTTTCCGTCCTTTTCTATAGCCGCCATGCTGTGTTTCCCCCCATACTTCCAGTGCATGTGTTTTTCCTAATTATGACAAAGCTCTCTGACATTTCCTTGTGTGTTAACTTTTAGTTTTATTCCTTTATATTGACCCTTTTTTTGCCAGACCCTTACTGACATTAAATGTCGAGCCTTGTGCGAGCTGTGTTTAACTGCTGTTCTGCTTATGTAATCCACTGGGTTCGTCATTCCTCCGTATTTTACTCCTCTTCAAAGGCTGTCATTTTCTCTGTTCATTTATTGAATCAAGTATTAAAATTCTTGAATGTGTATTTCAGCAGCATGCATCTCTTAAATTGTCAAACTAACTGCCTTACTTAAAATTTTCCTTTTCTAAAATTAAAATATTTTCAAGCAGACATCCTTGCTTAGTGTGCCACTGCACCAGAGGGGTTAAGAATGCGACTCTAGTCTAAGTATCTGGATTCAAGTCCTCCATCCTTCGCTTACCAACTGGAAGCTTAGCCACATTACTTAAACTTTTTGTGCCTTGCTTTCTTTATGTGTGAAATAGATGATAATTGTATGTACTGTGTGAGCTTCTTGGGAGGATCAGAGGAATTAATATATGTCCTCTTAGAATGCCTGTCTTATAGTAAATACTCAGTGAACATTTGCTGCCTTTATGATTATAGATATTAATCACCTTAATAATTCTGAGTTATGAGAATATTTTAAATGTAGCTGTTATTATTGAATCAATAATTTTATAAATTTGCTTTCACAAAGGGTACATGTAATGTATAACCAAATTTTGAGGTGTGTACTATGTGAGTACCTAATGAACACAATGAAATTGCTGTCTGAGTCCTCTTAAGACAAAGGTCTGAAATGTGCCTCCTCTTAATAGTCATTTAGCTTTATAAGTTAGAATTTAATCAATTCCTCCTTTGAGTTGTGATTAAAAATGATGAACATGTTATTTCCAGTGCCCTGACACGGTCTTTCTTATCCATTTACACTACTTAAATTTCTCTCTTCAGGGAGTATAGGGAATGTTATTACTGAGTTATGAGTAGTAAGTGAACTACCACATTTTAAAAATATATTTATAATTAACTCAACATTCCTAAAGATGATTGCTTTTTTCCCCTGTGTCAGCCTCCCTGAAAATTTTACCAAAATAATTGTTCAGGACTGACAGAAGGGTTGGAACTATTTGTTTATTCAAAGACTTGGCATTAATCCAGAGTGATTTCTGGGTGATATTTTAATCTATAGGGGAAAAAAAAAAACCTCAGTAAATTGGCTAGATTAAAAAAAAGGTGGTGCATTTGATTGGTATATTAGAATTTAGCATGCCTGTTGAAAATTATAACTTCTTTAAATGAAGATTACCAATTCTATTTTAGGAAATTAAGAGGATTTATATTCCTATTATCAAATTACTAAAATATCTTCATATCCCATTTCATTTCTTTGATCTTTATTTTTTACTTACTCTTTTTTTAATTCTGTAAAGTTTATTGGGAGCTAAAAGTGATGATTGGTCCTGGAAACACCATCAGCAGAGTCAGAGAAGTGCTTTATTACATATAACAAAGGATTTATAGACAGAAGAGGCTGAAGAAAACAGAAACAGAACAGAAAGCGGGTTGGTTATTTCAAAGGTACTTTCCTTGTAAGGTGGGGGACAGGGATGCAGAACAGTAAGAACACAACTGATTAGTTAACATCAGGTTATTTTGGCTGTCTGTTTTGTGTAAGGATCAAAGCAGAGGGAACTTCTTCATCAGATCACAACTGAAGTGATATGTCACTTAGCAGGGGTGACTCCATTTTGGTTTTAGTGTGGTCTGTTGGGGCCTAGTGTAGGAACTTAGTCCAAAACAATGGCCTCCAATAATTTTTACTTAACATTTCCCCCCTTTTGGTCAGGCTCTCATTAGGTGATGAGTGTGACCAAAACTTAGGTCATCAGCGCCACTTTCACTTACCATCATTAGGGGTTCCTGGTCTCAGCAGGGCGTTCGTTCCATTCGTAGGTTAAGATGTCCTCATTTTCATGCATTTCTTTGCCTTTTGTTTGTTCCAGCCTGTTTTACCCTATGACGTTTGATGGATGGCTGCACAAAACATTTAAAACTTTTGAGAGAACACAGCACACCAGGGAGGTTAGTTTTAATGACTGTGTGGAAGGTAATACCAAGAGTTTAGAGTATGCTCCTTAGCCAGGGTCCTCATGAACTGAACCACCTAAAATTGGACAGGCAGATGGGGAGTCTACCCTATTTGACCACATAGCTTGTTCATTACTAAGTAGTCTGTTCATTAGTTTTTTGTAATTCCTGATGTATTATTTATCCATGTGCAGCCACTGCACAGTGTGAGCCACTGCACAGATTCTTCCCTATTCAGTTAGTAGGTAACCTAGCACTACTGGGTTGAAGCAGAGAGTGACACATAACTCTCAGAAGCTCCTGATTTTGAAGTTTTAACTGCATCATCTGTCAACTGAAAGAGAAAGGTATAAGGAAGGAAAAATCAAGAGGTAAGAGTCTCATTATGATAGGAAGTCTTGTTCCAATGATATTCTGGAGAAAAAGCTGCCTACAGCCTGAAGTAGGCAACTTCTCATCCTGGTTTGCAGTTTGAACATCTCTGGTTATAGCATCAGGCTTTTTTGGTGAACTCTCAGTGTGGCCCACACAACAGGCGTGAAACTTGTCTCTCGAAATTTATGTGGAGCTGTCCAGCTTCCAGCTTATAGGTCTTCAGGAACAGAGCAGTTCTTGTTTTTAGAAAGTTGTAGCCAGATATCAAAGAAAACTAGAAGAATTCATGTTAGTCCAGTCTACAGGTAGACAATAAAACTCAAAAACAGTAAACAGGGCTACAATCTAGTATCAGATGTACTATAGTTTTCTTTTGAAATAAAATTTTTGCTCTCTACAATCACCTCCATTTTTGCCAAAGATAATTATGGTAAAACCAGTTTGCCTGGTTGTTTACATAAGCAGGAATAACTACATAAGCTCTTCTAAAATTTGTTTTTCTTAAAATTTGTCAAGGAATATCAGATTAGACTTTTAAAATCTCAGTGTTAGGATACCAAACAAAGGAAGACATTAGACTTTGCCTGCTGTATCTGATACCTTGAGGTTCTTGGGCCTACCGAGTAGTAACAGTTAATTCACTCACTAGAAGGTTGGAAACCTGTGAAGCCAGGCATTCTGTGCACATTTCAAATATNTTTTCAATACTTTTATTTATTCTTGTTTTTACAACTCTGTATTTTGCCCTGTGCACCACCTTTCGAATTAGTATAACATGTCTATTCAAAGGTCTACATATATCATCCTGCAAGTTATTTAACTATTTTAGCCGGATAACATCACACACAGTTGATTTTTTCCTACTAGGTGTATGTATTAAATGAATTTTCACTCACTGAGTTAATGAATAATCGTTTATGAAAAATGACAAATTCAACAAATTTCTTACCTTTCTGCATATTATCACCTTGAATGAGTATGTTGGAGACTCTTACATATTTCGACCCTTTTCCGTCCTTTTCTATAGCCGCCATGCTGTGTTTCCCCCCATACTTCCAGTGCATGTGTTTTTCCTAATTATGACAAAGCTCTCTGACATTTCCTTGTGTGTTAACTTTTAGTTTTATTCCTTTATATTGACCCTTTTTTTGCCAGACCCTTACTGACATTAAATGTCGAGCCTTGTGCGAGCTGTGTTTAACTGCTGTTCTGCTTATGTAATCCACTGGGTTCGTCATTCCTCCGTATTTTACTCCTCTTCAAAGGCTGTCATTTTCTCTGTTCATTTATTGAATCAAGTATTAAAATTCTTGAATGTGTATTTCAGCAGCTTGCATCTCTTAAATTGTCAAACTAACTGCCTTACTTGAAATTTTCCTTTTCTAAAATTAAAATATTTTCAAGCAGACATCCTTGCTTAGTGTGCCACTGACTCCTCTTCAAAGGCTGTCATTTTCTCTGTTCATTTATTGAATCAAGTATTAAAATTCTTGAATGTGTATTTCAGCAGCATGCATCTCTTAAATTGTCAAACTAACTGCCTTACTTAAAATTTTCCTTTTCTAAAATTAAAATATTTTCAAGCAGACATCCTTGCTTAGTGTGCCACTGCACCAGAGGGGT